TTGATTGTTGAATAGTATGAGACTTGTTGCCAGACATTGATGTAGAGGCGGCTTGTCTATCATTGGATCTATCTTCAAAATCACTGGGAAAATTATGAAGAGATTGTTGATTTGCTGAAACTGGAGGATTGGTAAGCATAGATGAAGAAGATAACTTTTGTTTTGAGGAATTAAGATCCGGAATGGGTATGTTCTGTTGTTTTGCCCACTGACGAGTTATAGGTCTTTCTGTTAAAGTAAATGCTGTAGGAACTACTGAATCTATCTCTGAATCATCCTCAAGGGGATTACGAGACAAAAAATCTGCGAGAACTAGCTCCTTTCCCTTTTTGTAACCGATCTTGAAGGAAAAACGGGAGAGTTTTACTAAAAGTTTCTGAAGTCGATTTGTACAAGGTGCACGTTTTGAATCAAATAGATGAATGATGGCTGCATGATCTACGTATGCATCAAATTCTACTCCACGTAATAAATACTGGAAATTGGAAATATTTATGAGTAATCCGAATAACTCTAATTCAGTAACGGAATATCTTTCACAAGCTTTTGGTAAACGTTTTGAGTAATATCCTAACAGTCGTTCTTGACCTTGAATGACTTGAGTAAGGTAAGATCCTGTTGCAAAGCGAGATGTATCGCTGTAAAGGGTTAAGCGTCCGGTGCCAGAATGCATATATAGAACGGGTGGCTTTACTAACAAAGATTTTACTTTAGTGAAGGCTGTTTTTTGAGCTTCTGACCATTTGAAAACCGAACGTTTATTGGATATCTTATGTAGAGGTTGCAATATGGATTGCAAACTGGGCAAGAAGTTTGACAAATAATTGACAGCGCCCACAAAACGTCGTACATCTCTGGTTGACCTAGGCCTGGGAAGATTCTGAATGGCTTTACACCTATCTGACAAAGGCTGAATAGTCACTAGGCCTTCTGAACCAAGTTGTATTTTATGACCCATATATGTAACTGCCTGACGAAAAAATGCACATTTACGAGGACAAATTTTTAAACCATGTTGAATAAGGGCCTTAAAAAGAAGATTTAAATGTTGTGTATGAGAATCAGTATCATGACTAAAAACAATTATATCATCATGGTGTGCGATACAGAAATCGTAACTACTTGGAATAGTTGCTAAAACATTATCAACTGTTGATTGAAAAACCGCTGGAGATATACATAATCCTTGTGTTAGTCTCTTAAATAGTAATGTTTTCCACCAGAGTATGAAGATATGCCTGTGTACTGTTGAGCTTTAGGCGATAAAGGAAGGGAAAAGAAGGCCGACTTAAGATCTAAACAACTAAGAACAGCAGGTGAAGCGTTACCAATTCTCTTCAGAGTGTCTGTCAACAGTGGAAACGGATGATTTAAGCGCTTAATCCGCGAATTTAAATATCTGAAATCTACAACGACTCGCTTTTCATTGGTTCCCTTCTTTGGAAGAATCAAGACAGGTGATGTGTAGGCTTGACTACCAACTGCAAGTATTCCTAACTTCACTAATTTCTGTAACTCTTGATCAACTATACGTTTTTCTTTTTCGGTTTTAGGGTAAGGCCTAATATAAAAAGGTTTGTCATCAGTGACGTCAATATCAACTTGGATATTGGGACATTTTCCGATTTCGCCATTCAAGCTGAATGCTTCTTTATGTTTAGTCAAAAGCTGGTAGAAATTGTCTTTCTGGTTGGCTGTAAGAAGACTTTTGGTAAGGTCAATTGTAGAGCGAAATACAGAGTCTGATGAATGACTGGTGTAATATATTAATAGAGTCACAAACGAAAATGTCATGTAGTGAAACATGGGATATAGGTCTAGATGATGGAATATGTAATGTCTTGGAAGTTGTATTACATATTGGAATCACAGCACTATTTCTTTTTAGCTTGATAAGAAATGTTAAAGGACAAGCACTTTTAATCTTACTATTACATGTCATTAAAACCTCGCGATTGCGAAAAATACCTGGAATTTTACCATGAACAGTAACATAACGTTGCTGATTGGGTTTGACATAGACTGAATTAGATGTTGAGAATGAAATGTTGGTAGATCGACACTGCAAAACATTGTTATTAAAACTAAGGTTGGCATCCAACTTTGCCAATGTCTCTTGACCAACGATCAAATCAATTCCAACAAGATTGGAAGCAATGTACACTTCAAAAACTAAAGTATGACCTTCAATAACTATCTCAAGTTGTAGCGAATGAGAACAAACTATTAGTTGACCATTAGCCATTCTAAATTTTAGGGATTGTTCTAATTTATGAAGTGGTAAACTACTGAGATATGAAGATGACTCAATAGTAAATGATGAGATTAGTGATCGAGTAGCACCACTATCAAACAAAAGTAAAGCAGAATGTCCATCAGGGAAATTACCTTTACAATAATTACGTTTTGACAATTGTATGTTTAAAGGTTTGGTCTGTGATGATGACATCGGGAATTTATTCGGAGCAATGGAACAAATTCCCTGTATTAAAAATCCTGATTATGTTTGTCAGCCATGTGCCTTTGGCGGACGAAACAAGAGCGCCAAGTATGGTTAGGCTTTCCACAGTAGTCACAGACAATTTGACGATTCCTATGACTTTGAAAAAAATCTTGACGTCTTGGAGAAAATTCTCGGTGATTTGGAGAAAAATCTTGACGACTTGAAGAAAATCGACTGTTATAATATGATCTGTTGTTATGTCTTGAGAAATGAGAATTTCGATTTTGTCTAGGGCTATGAGGTCGAAATTCATTGGTATGGCGTGCCTTAGGACTGATTGAGTGATCGATGCGTCGATTATCATTGGAAGAAGAATGATGAGAAGATGACCGTCTCCGAGGAGAAGAAAAACCTGAAGCAAATTGTCGTGATGGGCGTTCCAGCTCTAGCTTAAGATCAGCTAAATCTTGTTTTAAGTGTGCTATCTCAGTATCCTTGTCATTTTCTGCCGTGAAAAAGGTTACTTCCTTAGTTTTACTGTCACTCTTGTGAATGTCAAAGTAATACTGAGCTTTGAGAGCTATGTCAGAAATAGAAGTCCTGTCATTAATTGACATTGCCACAGCTTGTTGACATAATGATGGCAAAATGGAAACAAACTTGTATCGCAGTTGTGCATCAGCTATGTCCAACTGTCTTCCTAATCTCTGAAGTTCCTCTAAATTTTCAGAGGGCGGTTTAGTTTCGTCATAACAAAATGAAGCGTAATCCTTATGCAAACCAAAGGGCGTCCGATTATCAGAAAATCTCTCAATAAACTGAGTGCGGAGATCTGCCAAGCTTCGGAACACTTTACCTTCTATCCATAGACGTGCTTTGCTTTTTAATGTTTGCCTGAAGAGACCAACCATCACATTAATTCCTGCAACATTGACAGGGTTCTGATCATGATTATGATGTTCTAAATAATCCACGAAAGTCAAATAATGTGCTGTAGCAAGATCCCTACTTAGGATAGACCCATCAAATTTATCAGCAATACAGGGCTTACCTTGAGCCATTTCAAAGTTGTACAAAATGAACTTATGAAATGCCACAAAATTAATTATGAAACAATATATATACATGTATCAAGCTTACAAAATGTTAGAAAACTAATTACTAAACAATATATCAAATTAACAAAATGGAAATTCAAGTACTGTACACAATAACACATTCACCCAACACAATCATACAATACAATCATACAATATCCTAACAACGATAACCAAGCAGGTAAAAAAAACACAAGTCAATAATATTCAATGAATGTCGATAATTGAACAAATGATTTATATAGGAAAATATCACACAAATGTCACTGCAACTGCATATGCATCAAATCACTGTAGACTGTAGATTTCAAAATGTTACTATTACTATTAAATACTATTCAGTATGAAGCTAAAAACTGGCATGTTATGTTATAATTGTCACTGGACTGTCTAAGGCTAGAATTAAAAGTCGGTAGGCCTATACTACATCTACAATAATTGGTCTTCTCTGGGATTATCTACACCACACTGCCTGCTCAAGAATACTAAATAATATTACTACATTCACAGTCACATAAAACTGGAAACTGGATCGAAATCATAATATGAATTGAAAATTAGGTAATGATGATGTAAGTTGAACATAAACATGGTTTAAATTATTCTGTCTTCAAGACTAGGCTCTCCAAAATAATTTCAGACTTTGGATAATTGTAGGCAATGTAGGGCTATCTCAATCTGATCTCATCTGTGATTCATTTAGTAAATTGTAAATGTAATTCTCTGCACAATGAAAATTCTCAAAATTAGAATGATACTAGATTGATTAAAGTTCCATCAGTTGACTAATATCAGTTGAGTTCAAGATATACAGTAAAGTCAAGCAGTATTGCTTAGTCCATTCTAAGAAAGCACATGGCACAGATATGAAAAGCACATGGTACTCTTAAACTGTCACAAAAATCTGATTAAATCCATAGTTTGGTGAAAAACATACAAAATATGAAGCACAATAAGTTTAGGATGGTTTGCATCTCCACCATGTTGTATTCGGATCCTTGGATCCAGGGGTGTTACACATTTATATGTGGGTGAAAATAAAAATCAACCATTCTCCATGTTAGAATTCCAATCTCTATCTTTATTACTCTAAAAGGCAGTAGAACTACAACATAAGGGAGACAACTTGTGTCTGCTTAAACATAAGGTTTCAGACCACAATGATATAGAATATACCACAATATGACACTATATAGGAGATATTTTAAAATTGATAGGCACTGCATGTTTCAACATTTTAGATTTGACCACAGTTTGATTTATATTGAATTGTATTTAGAAAACGGAGGAAACCGAATGACCCAGCGAAAAAACTCAAGAGATTGGACAGGGGACTCTACTCCTTGAAATTGAAACCATGCCACTTAACACAATGACAGACCCTGTGATTTCATGCGCATGCATTACCTACTAGACCATTCCCCCCCCATCCCCACCCCATATCGAATAAAAGTATGACTTATTTAAAATATGATATTTACATATAAAGAAAGTAGAGAGACTTCAATCTTACTAGAAAAATACTAGATTACCTGAAATGAAATGGGGTTTAAAGACAACGTCCTACTGGTCAGCTCCGACTGGTCTAATGCATTGTGCTAAGTGAAAATGTTTGTCTGGGCAGCGACACTATGGCCTACTCTCATACCGAATTCAAACTGCCAAGAGAACTTTTATGTGTACGCCAATGTGTACATTGGATCTCAGGGGAAACCACTCTGCAAAATCAAGATGAGCTTTCTCGGTCAACCCCATGCTAGTGTGCCAGCACCTAATTTACTCAGTCACCATGGCCGTCTTCTAATTACTGCGACAGTGAAACCATGTGACAAACAAGGATTATTAAGATAGACTTTTACGGCTTGGTAGTTCCTTGGGATTAAAACTTTTGATACATATAGATACATTAGTTTCAATTTCATATCACACAGTTTGTATATATGGTAAGGTAGCTTTAATCGTAAATTACATATCATGTATTTATTTTTTCAGTTTCAATATTGGATGTATATGCAAATCACCCAGAAAAAGATCATGTAATAACAAAAGAAATTATAAAAGAAAAAAAGGAAGAAGAAATGGCTGGAAAAAATGATGATAGAGCAGCTTTTTCTTGGTGGGTAACTATTCAATTCTAATAGAAAAGATTGTTATGCTATTTTGAAATCTAAAATTCAGTTTAGTATAGTAAAACTGTACACGTCATGTATGAGCAGAGACAGAATCTTAGTTATATGTAGATATCACTGTCTCATCTGTGGCAAAGCAAACCAACACATGAAACAAAACAAATGTAATTAAAGTAACATTTTTTTAATTAATCAAAACTGTCTAGTCAATTTAAGCCAACTAATACATTGCCATTTTTTTTTCAGTTACCCACCTCGGAAGATCAAGTTGGAAAGGGCTATTGATATTGTGGAGACGTTTTATCACAGATCTTGCTTATCAGACAAAGACTATGTAAGTACCATGCATATTTGCTTTTTAAATCAGGAACTGGTTCTATACACTTGGTGGGGGGGGGGGATGGACGTTAAACCCCATTTCGCTCTCTCTCTCCTAAATATTGAGATTTTTGTTTACTTTTAAACTGCATATATTCAAGGTATCAGGAGCTTTTTATGGCTCCCGTACAATTCTATAAACATGAAGGACTGTACCTTTTGAATATTAAGCCATCAAATTATTTTATAATTTTGAAAATGAAATGAAATGGGGTTTAACATCCTACTGTTTTGCTCATAAATTGGGCTAATGAAGACGGGCATACGCCATACAGTGTGCTATGAAGGGAATTTTGCCCGGGCAGCGGCGCTACAGCCTACTCTTATATCGAATTCCAATTGCCAAGGAATCTTTTATGTGCACGCCAATGTGTACACGGGACCTCGGTTTTTTCGTCCCATCCGAACGACTAGACAGCTGTCCTTGTCAGGTCCTCCGTCCTGTATCACTGACAAGGGGAAAACACGCAAAATGTAAGTAACATATATATTTGTATTTTTAATCAGGAAGTACTTCTATACACTTGCTTGGTAATCTAGTTATTCTACTTGGGGCAATGCCTAGGACTCTGCTGTTTCAAGTACATGGCATGCTTGATTTTTGCCAATCACATCCATTGATTTCCTTCAAGTTGCGATAGGCCCTACATGTATGTGTATTTTTACTTTCAAATAGATTTCAGTAGATTTTAAAGGGTAATATCCAATTTGTTGTCAATGGAAATAAAATAAGAATGGGTCCACAAATAATTAGACATTACGCAAAGTTGAAACCAAATAGAGACTCGGTCTCGATGTGGCAAAATAAATTGTTTATTTAAACGTTGTGAACCATAGAAAGTATTCTTATCTCCTACTTTTTATTTTTTAGGCTGGAACACCATTGAAAGAGTATTTGCTGTATGATAACAACAAGAAAACCCAAGCATCAATTTATTTTATACTTCTGGGAAAGAATGCATTTGACCCAATTTTTAAATATTTATTTTTTGTTATTAATGTTAAATTTTCTTCCAAAACACAATTAGATTTTAATTCTCTTCAGAAATGTATGTATAATATAGCAAGTAAAGTGGCATATAAATCACTAAGAATTTGGTCAGAAATCATAAAGTATTTAATAGGCATTACTAGAAACCAAATGAGGATCAAATACACCCAGAATTACAAAAAACCTTGACCTACATAAAGGTGACTTTCCCTTGCTTATGAAATGAAATACGGTTTTGTATCCTACTTTTCTGTGTTCTTAGAGTGATTCTGCCCTACACCCTACTCTTATATCAAATATTTCAACTGTCAAGGGTTCTTTAACGGGAACCCAGGGGGGGGGGGGGAATGATTAACACGCACACATTTGATCAGGAAGTCTGTCATTGAGTCAAATAATTCAATTGTCAAGGCTTCTTCTAAGTGAACGCAGTGGGGATGGTTTCGATTCCGGGAATGGGGGAGGGGGTGGTGGATGGCCGAATGGTAAGCATGTGCGTGCGGTATCATACGGCCTGTCATTGAGTCAACTGGCGTGGTTTCGAATCCCCGGTTGTACGTGACAAGGAGTAGGGTCGCCTGTCCAATCTTGTGGGTTTTCTACGGGACCTACGGTTTCCTCCCACTGCTAAAGACCCCTATGCGCAACGAATTATTGAAATAAAATTAAACCATATGTTAATCCCGAAATGACCTAGTTTGTGTCAAGTGGACGTTAAACCCCATTTCTCTCTCTCTCTCTTTCGATTCCGGGCTTGTACCCAATTATCCCTTGCCATATCCAAGACTACTGACAAGTGGGAACTATGCCGGAAAATCCAGTTGAAATTTCTCGGCCAACACCTTATACTTACTGAACCACTGTGGCTTATGACTTGTGATTGTATATAAATTTTTTGTACATATGATATTTTTTTATTTCAATCCTGTAATCTTGATGCTTTGCTTCTTTTATTTACAAAATATTCATTTTGTTTGGGTTTTTTTAATGAGGAAAAGGTTTTACATCATTTTATTACTCCTGCAAAATAGTGCATTTTTCTTTTGTTAGTTTTCTGTGTATATTAGTTATTTCTATATGTCTCACAAATCACTTGTAGTGTGATTTTGTAGCACTTTTCAGTTTTTGAAATTGTTTCAATTTAGTGCATAATTAATCTTAGTGCTTGGTTTGGATGTTATTAAATTTAGATATTATTTGAATTATATATTTTGGAGTATGGGGTAGGGATACTGTGTACATATCTTTATATTCTCAGTTCTTGTTTTGGGGTTAAGAACAATTTAAATAGCTATGTTATATTTTGTGATGGGTAAAGTGGGGTGTGTGTGTGTGTGTGTGTGTGTGGGGGGGGGGGGGTCATGTCATTATATATAACACAATATAATTAGTATTAGAATTCTCTGTTTTTCTGTTAACATTTCAAATATCTATATAGTTTTGATGTATTAATTTACTTTTTCCTATGATTTTATGAATAAATAATAATCTTACAAAAACAAAAACAAATTTTGTTTCCTTCTTTTATCAAACTTTACAGGTCTAACAGAGCAAAGAGATGGGTCCTGCATAAAAAGGTTGCTATACTGTATATAAATTGGGGAAAAACACAACACAAGTTTTTGTGGATGGTTATACACAAGTTTGTATGAAACCACACAAGTTTCAGAAATTGCAACACAAGTTTCAGGTATTGCTACACAAGTTTCAGAAATTTAAACACAAGTTTCAGAAATTTCAAAAATTTCAACACAAGTTTCAAAAATTTCAACACAAGTATTGTGTAGATTTTCACACAAGTTTCAACACAAGTTTGTGTTGTTTGATAAATTTTAACACAAGTTTTGTGTTGTTTCAACATTTAACACAAGTTTTGTGTTGTTTCAACACAAGTTTGTGTTGTTAAATAGAGACACCTTACTTGTGTTGAAAACAACACAAGTTTGTGTTGTTTCAACACAAGTTTTTTTTCAGTGTACCAAAAGATCTGTTATCTGTGCAAATCGTGGGTTCTCCCTTTCCTTAAACCAAAATGTCTGTTATCTGTTGAAATCACGCGTTTGATCCAGGCAGGCTGCGAACGTGGCAAGGAAAATGCCCGTTTGATCTTGCAGTACAAAATTTACACATTTGTATAGAATTGCGCATCTGGGGTCTCCACTGACATCGCGTGCTTTTCAATCAATCTTTATACGGGTGTAAGGCGGAATCAATTCAGGAAAGGTAGATATCTACTCTATCCTTGGGTCCGCAATGGTAACAATTATACCTTGAACGACAACAATACGCATTTGAATTTTGATCCCACAAGGTCGTTGTACTGCTTTAATTCTTTGGTCTAGAATCCCGAACTCCCCTCCCGTTTAAAAATTCCGCCATTTAGAATTGCTTATCAATTGATCGATCTATGAAGACCTAAATATGCATCAATTAAGGATTGATTCCCTGTAAAATTGGCGAAATTGACATTACTAATATACTTGAACAAAATTATTTCTATATTCAAAATGGCCGATATCACCGTCTCAATTTGCTGGAGTCTCTAACTCTATGTAACGAGACCAGTCTGTCCGATTCCAGTTCCAACGGAAGAAGAGAAAGGCCCACTTTCATTATACATAATTACGTGAGCAGAAATTCTTACCTTTCCAATACGTTGAAGGCTGACTTTTACACCATGATTAAAGGTGTATAACCGACCCACTTGTTTACCTTGTCTACACTCCCCTGGGTTGTACTTAAGACTTTATACAGTAACATTGGTATAATATTACCTTACAATATACACACTACGATGCATAATATACCATATCGGCAATCCCCTGATCGAAGGCTTTATAGGTAAAGTATTACCTTTTAATATGCACGCTACGATGCACAATGTCTGTTTAAGTATGAATTAAAATAATATTTGATTCTCGAATCGAGAAGCACACTTGTTCTGTGAGTCCTACTAATCACCCAAAAGAACTGACAAGATCCGTTTGTTCTCAAATTGGTCGAAATGTTTAACATTAGGCAATTAAACATCATATTATTCATTTCATTCCCTTTATGTATCTTTAAGTTAAAATGTTTTCTGTATGAAAGGACCGTCCTTTATGTGTCGTTAAATCGTTTATGTATCTTTAAGGTCTGATTAAAGGAGCAGTCTCGGATATATTCTTATTGAATAAAATGGTTATTCTGTGTGGGGTGTGATTCCGGTTGTCTGGGTCGCACTTTTGGATTGGCTGTTGTACATGAAATATATTTGGCCCTGTCTGGATGGTGTTAAAACACAAAACCTGTGCAGTTTTAAAATGTCAGTTATAGCCAGCTTTTAAAGGTTCGATTTAAAAGAAATGATTTGTACCCATGTCAGATAGGATTATAAATAACAATAATCAATGGTTGTTTTGAAGAAAAAAATTGACAGTTTTACTTATTGAATTCTGATTTAATTCACATCTGCATCTACCAGAAAGAACTATAGTACCTTCTCTTATCTCGAGTCACGCAGGTTCGAGCGATAAAGTTTCTTTTCTTTTATGGCCCAAGGCGTATATTATTAGTGACACTGTCATAATCCATTTTTACACGCACTGTGTCTTATAAATTCGTCATCATCTTCTAGCCGTGGGGTGGGGCGGGGAATGGGGCCCTATAAGTGGAATCCGACACAGTCTATAACCCTCTATTGGCAGTGTTGCCACTGGACCAATGCAGTATCGTTCTCCAAAATGAAATCCGTAATACTCACACCCAGGACTTGCTGTATGTTTTTGGTCTCGATCGGGTCTGAGAAATATATTCTGAAGGACAGAAGACTACATTGGCCAAAACAGGTCGGACACACAAGTTCTATACTGGTTGAAAACAAATATGTCAGTATTGTAATATATTATGGATGGTACGCCACAATAATTTACAATCATGTTCGGCTAGGTGATTAAGACGCTGGCTCGCTAGTCTGGAGGTCGGGTGATCGGTCCCTGCATTGGCCGAGAAAGTTCATCCTGATTTTCCGACGTGGTTTCCTCTTGTCAGAGGTGACACCCCGAGGTCCCGTGTATACATTTGAATGCACGTATAAGATCCCTTGGCAGTTTGAATTCGTATGCCCGTCTTCAGTAGCCCAGTATAAGATCAGAACAGCATGACGTTAAACCCCATTTCATTTCATTTCACAATCATGAGTCTTGAGAGAGAGAAGGAGTTTAACGTCCACTTGGCACAAGCCAGGAAATATCGGGACTAAATTAATCGATGAAACAAGCTTGATAATGAATGATATTGACCAATTAAGCATTTTCCCGCTATATGTGCCCTAATATAGCTATATCGGCATGTTAATTATATAAATTATTGACAGTACAGATTTTAATTCATACTATAAAGAAGTTCGGATAAATGAATAAAATATAGAGTATTACATATTTTATACTCCTATAATTCGCTCTGATGTTTGAATATGGTAATTTATCTCTTATATGAAAGTTCTATCGGGTGCCGTAGCCTTTGTTTATAGTTTTGATTTTAAATAGATTTATTTTCGAGCTGTAATCTATGGCCGAAATAACGAAACTTTTGATAGCACTTTAATAGATTATTACCAGTTGTTGTGATATAACCAAAACATGTTTCCCATTTTCTTAGTTAATGTACTTTTAGTGTTAAACATACAAGTATGTTGATAGAATTCATTATTTTACATACGTTTAGATGTTTGACAAAATTCACTTATGATATATAAATAAATATACTATATTCGGAACTATATTTTATGGAAAATCTTCAAGGGATAATCAAAAGAATACAATATATTGACGGTTATTTTTAGAGAGGCATTATCTTCCTTTGACGGAATTATTGAACGTGTATGGGCCCCTTAATGAACATCTACATCAAGTTTAAACTTAGTCCCTCTTATCCTGAGCATAAATCTGAATTAGTACAAAAAAATCAACATACCTATATTTACCTATATTTACCTATTGTTGGAATCTATAGCGCTGTTTAGTTAAGTGGTAGTGATCAAATAAAGTCTCGTTGGCAATAAAAACGACGGGAAGTGTTAGAACTAGTGAGTATTGTGAATGGTAGCAGACGAAATGTCTTGAACACGTGAAAACAAAGATGGCGGGTGAGATACATTGTATATACTGTAATATATAGTCAAGCAGTAGTAAGAAGTTATATTTTAATCCCTTCAAGAGCCTGTGTAGAAGTGGTACAAAATTTACACAGTTGTATAGAATTGTGCATCTGTGGTCCCCACTGACATACGTGCTTTTCAATGAATCTTTGTACGGTTGTAAGACGGAATCAATTCAGAAAGGCGCCTGACTACCCCATCCTTGGGTCAGCAATAGTACCAATTTTACCTTGAACGCCAGCAACACGCATTTGAAATTTGTTCTGATCTGTCTTCAAAAAGAGGTCGTGGTTCTGCCTTAATTTTTAGGTCTAGAATCCCGAGCCCGTTTAAAAATGTCCACCATTTAGAATTGTTCATCAATTTATCAATCAATGTAGACGAGTTTCTAGCTCTAACGAGACCAGTCTGTCCGATTCCAGTTCCAATGGTAGAAGAAAAAAGCCTACTTTCATAATACTTCATTACGTGAGCAGAAATTTTTACCTTTCAAAAAGCTAAAGTCTATTACAACACGACTAAACGTGTATAATCAACCCACTTGTGTACCTTGTCGGTACCCTCCCATTTCAACTACAACTTATAACAACAGATTATATGCTCTTGTGATTTCATTATCCCTCCTTATATACCCTTTCCATAACTAAAATAGATTCTTCCATAAAAACACCCCATTTCCACTAGATGAGTTTGGGCGATTCTGCTGTTTATTCTCAATTACTTGCCAACGAAAAGGATGTTAGCTTGATCAGTCAAATCTGCAGCTAAACGAAAAGGTTGCTAGTTTCTGGGGTCCAATCGGCAGCTAAATGAAAAGGTTGCTAGGTTGACCGGTCGGATCTGCCAAATTCTGTTCGGAAGAATGAACGTTTGAATCTTATCCTGTCTATCAGTGAATTATTGTGTTAAGACTCAGTCTCAGGATGTATTGGGCTGTATAGGGAAAAATGTACTTGATCTGGGAATTATACCCAAATTTTTTCTAATGGTTACAAAATATAGAACATGAAAATACAAAGTTTGGCTTTAAAAGATAAATGTACACATTCTATGCTAAAAGTACAATGCCCCCCCCCCCCCCACACACACACACAGGTCCTATGATAAAGCCCACGTGTTTGTAAGTCAAAAGCACACTAGAAATAAATATAACACTTTAAATATATTCCCCAACCTCTATACACCAACGCCCACTTACTTAACCAAAGACTAAAAATGAAGTTCGGAAAAGACTATTTTTTTTTCTAAAAGTATATTTGATAGAAAGCTTTTCCTTTAGAACTTTTTACAAACTTTATTATATAACACGGTTAGAGATACATTATGGGAGATTTTAATAGAGAGTTGGCCATTCTTGCTATAACCCTAAAGAACATCCCTATCCTTTGGGGTGCATGCACAACCCCCAGGGACAGAGCCACGCCCATTTTCTTTTTGTATGTCTGTTTGTCGTCTATAGGCCACAATTCTTAATCGAGTATACCCTAAGGATGATCCCTATTGTTTTTGGTGCATGCCCGACCCCCCTGGGACAGAGTTACGCCAATTTGGTTTTTTGGTGATTGTCCAACCCCCAGGAGCAGAGCCACGCCCATTTTTGTAGTTGTGTCTCTGTGAGTTGCCTACAGGCCACGATTCCTAATGGATTGTCTTTGAACTGGGGATATGTATTCCTTATAGCCTAAGGACGCCAACTGCATATCCCGACCCCCAGGGGCAGAGCCACGCCCAATTTTTGTGTTTATCGTTTACAGCCCGGGATTCTGAATGGATCAACTTGATACTTGGCATATGTATTCATTTCTAGCCTAAGGGCGTCAACTATTGATTTTGGTGAATGCCCCGACCCCCCAGGGGCAGAGCCACGACCAATTTTTGCCTTTAGCGCCCGAAGGCCACAATTCTGAATGGATTATCTTGGAACTCGGAATACTTAGTCCTTATACCCTAAGGACAGCAACTATTGATGTTGTCATTTCAATAACAGGGTGTTCTATATCCAACCCTCAGGGTCAGAGCCACACCCATTTTTTGTATTTATCGTCTTTCGTCTGAATGTATCATCTTGGAACTTTGCATATGTATTCCTTATACCGTTAAGACAGCAACTATTTATTTTGGTGTTTGCCCCGACCTCCTGTCACAGTGTCACACCCACTTTTTTGTTAGTATTTTGTCTGTAAATTTGGCAAAACAAACCCAACGCCCAGCCTTCTTTGCCTCTTATCATATTACAGCCATTTCATATTTCGTTTTCTTCATTCTAAAAAGTACCAGATAGTCTGACCCTTAATGTAAATCCGTCGGCTTTTTGGGTAGAAATCGTGGAATAAGCTTTATTTTGAAGGTTTCGATGTTTAATGACAAAAAAAACCAATGTTGACATTTTTTCTGACTAGGTCTTCATAGTATGGGAGGCCATTTTCTGAGTGTATCCATTTTCGATAATATTCCAACTTATTTTTTTCACCCTACTTGTAATGTTATCGACATATCTACTGAGATTTGGCACTGTATTAGTACACACAGGGGTCATGAATATATTTCAAATTCTTTCCCATGACTTCATGAAGATATTTCCAAGATGGCAGCCATTTTTGGCGGGAATTGGGACATGTCCAGATTTTGATTAAGTAGTAGTGTTTGGTGTCAATATATATGTTTACGGGGACTCAGATTTCATTTCTGACATTTACAACTATGTA